ATATATATGTAATTTTATAATATTTTTTTATTTGCCATTTCATGTAATGGCTACGTTCTAAGTAGAATCGAAAAGCTAATATATATTTTTTCGTACTTTTATAAGAACTTTTAACTATTTTATACAATCTATGTATTTACAAACAGCGTTCATTAGCCATACAATTTTCAAAAAATCATAGATATTTTTTCTAACAACCCAGACCGCACAGAATATTTATAGTAACTGCTTATTATTATTTATTGTTTTATATGTTATATAAATATGTTATACATATTTTATATAAAGCTTTATTCGGAATATTATGAAAATATAGATAATATTTTATGTAATATTTACGAGAAATATAAATACATATTTCTAACAAGTCCTTGTTACTTTTTGATTATTATGTCGCATTAAGTATTTTCACAGCATTTACTATAACATTAACTACATATATTTTTACGATATTTGTAATAAATCTATAGTATGTAAGACCACAAAAATATTTACAAAATATTTCAAATAAATTAGAATACTCATAAGTTCCTTAAAATTTAACGAAAACAAGCTACGAATTTTACAATTCTGCTTAGAATTAATCCATAAATCAATGGTAGCAATTGCAAAAAGTGCGTTAAAATATTAAATGTGTATGAATCTTAAGATTTCGTTAAAATTATGTGTATTTCTATAAATATACACTACAAATTGTGCAGTCATCTTTAGCAACCCTACTTATATTATATCGGTTTTTATTGATATTAATATTATTGAAATCAAAACAATATTAATTTAGTAGCAAAGTTTCGGTATTCAATTTTCACTTATAAAATAATAAAAATTTAGTTTAAAACTAACCTGACATTGTCTTCTTTGCTGCGATCGGCTCCTGTTCGAAGAACACTTCTTGCGACCACGCAGAAATCAACAAGAATATCTATAGCGCGTCGTTACAATACATAGAAAGAAATGAATGAACTTCGATGCTCAATGTCATGTTGCCCATCGTATGTAAATAAATCGGGCAACATCGCAATTTTTAGCTTGTTTCTATGCGCCTCAACGAAGCGCTACAGATATTCTTGTTGATTGATTGTCGCAAGAGCTGGTCGTCCTTACGTGAGTATTAGAGAAAATTATAAAGGTAAATATAATTTTGACACATACACATATCCACACATACACACGTATACACACATATACACTCTTATATATATTCATTTATTTTTTTTAACCGCGATATAAAAATGTGTGACGAGTCTAAAAAACATAAGCGAAGTTTTCAACAAACTTGGCTTACTGATGATAGATATAAATCTTGGATACGCGAAGTATCATCAGATAGTAGTATGTATTATTGCATTGTATACAACAAAAATTTGTCATGCGTTTCAATACATGTATCAAGACATGCGAATTCTGCGCGTCACAAAAATAATGTAGAAAAAAATACATTATGTGATAATGACGATACTTCAATTAAAAATAGCGATAATGCACCAACATTTAAAAAGAAATGGCTATATTTTGAGCAGTTTAAATGTTGGTTACGTGAAGTGCCACATGATGAAAATTTATTTTATTGTTCAATTTGCGATAAGTATCTTACTGCTAAATTATGTCACATTTATCGTCACGCAGAATCGCAAATACATATAAACAAATGTCAAAGTTGTAATGAAACAAGTGAATCGAATGAAGATTCAAATGTACAAAATAATGAAACACTTTTGTCATTTGAAGAGCGTAAAAAAGAGGCAGAAATCAGATTTGCCACATTAATTGCAGAAAAAAATATTTCTCATTCAAATGCAAATGAGATTCTTAAATTGTTTAAATATATAGGAAAGGATCCTAATGTATTGCAAAGCATGACTATGAGTCGTAAAAAATGTACAAATATTATAAATAACGTTTTGAGTCCAATTGAAACGGTACGTATCGTAAATAACATTCAGAACACAAAATTTACAATATTTATTGATGAAACATCAGACATTTGTAATGACAAGTGGATGACTTTTCTTGTTCGATTTGTTGATTCGGAAACATTAGATACTCGAACGCAATTAGTCAAATTAATTGATATTGATGCTAAAGATTGCAGCGCAGAAAAATTATATGAAGCCTTTAGAAATGAAATGTGGAGATTACAGATACCGTTTACAAATATTGTTGCCTTGTCATGCGACAATGCGTCTGTCATGGCAGGAAAACATTTATCTTTTAAAAAAAAATTGGAACAAGTATGTCCACGTTTACTTACATTTTCATGCCCTTGTCATTCTTCCGCATTAGTAGCGAATGCTGCATGCAAAAAAATACCCGATTTTTGCGAAGAATTTATAAAAAAGATTGCTAGATATTTAAATAACAGTCCAAAACGTACGGCTGTATTCCGTGAATTCTGTGAATGTTTTGAAGATAGAAGTTTAAAAATATTAAAATTATGTGATACTCGTTGGCTTTCTCGCTATTTTTGTGTAGAAAGACTTTTAGAACATTGGGATACAATAAGATACTTTCTTAATGAAATGTTCGTAAGTGAAAGAGCAAATGCTGCCAAAGATTTATTGTCTGTAATGGATAATATTGAAACAAAAGCTTATTTCCTTTTTTTAAAATACATTTTACATTTTTTTAATAAATTTAATACATATTTTTAGTCATTACAAACACAAATTCATGAATTGCAACCAAAATCTGTAGCCTTTCTTTATGAAATCTGCCGAAATTTTTTGAACAATGAGTATTTAAAACATTTTTCCATAGACATTGTATTCTCTTTAAAAGAAAATCAAAAAAATCTTGACGAAATTAATTTAGGATCAGAATGTAACGAATATCTTGACGAAATAATGAAACAGGGGTACGAAAACGTAGTCACAATAATTCGAAGTAACTGTTTACAGTTTTGCGTGACTGCTGCTGAAGAAATTCGCAAAAGATTGCCTGTGAATAATATATTTTTATCAAAATTAACTGTTTTGGATCCTTCTGTATGTTTACAAGATACTGACAGAGAAATATCATTTAAAAATGTTTCTTTCATAAATAAGACCATCGGTGATTTTGATGAAGAAGCTTTAAAGAAAGAATGGTTTGCTCTGCCATTAGATTTTACATTACAACAGAAAGAAAGTCTTGTTAAATTAAATTTCGATGACATGTGGAAGGAAATTTTGCAATCACAGCATCCGAATAACATTGATAAATATCCAAATTTAAAAAAAGTCCTGAATGCTATACGATCACTTCCAAATTCAAATGCCGACGCAGAGAGAATGTTTTCGTTTTTAAATGATTTAAAAACCAAAAAACGTAATAAACTTTCACCAAATTCAGTTAATGCCTCTTGTATTTTGACATCAGCATTAAAGGCGAGAAGAGAAACGTGTTTAACTATCACTATTGAAGAAAAACATTTATCTCGTATGTCGACGAACATATTATACAGTAGCGTTGCCAAAAAGAAACGTAGTAGTTTAGGACTACATGCTGCTGATATTAATGATATCGCTGGACCCTCGACAGCAGATTGAAAATATTAAATGTAAAATTGTTTATATTTTGTACATTATTATCTGTTTTTTCATTAAGTATCTATCAGGATGTAATGCTTAAAGCATATAAAAATATTGTCCGCGAGGGTATGACGCTAATCCGATGAGCGGAATGTATAAAATCAATGCATAAGGCAACATTGAGATTCTTTTAAAAGTTCTTTAAGAAACATCTTTAGGATATTTTGAGAAGAACTTTCAAAGATATCTAAAAGTTGATTTATGCGCCGATTTTATATATTTATCTCATTGAGGTGAATGAGCGTGTCATATTTCCCGGACACAATGGCATAAAAATATTGTCCACGAGGGTATGACCCTTATACTTCCTAATGAGTGCAAAGTCTAAAATCAACGCATAAGACAAAATTGAGATTCCTTTAAAAGTTCTTTAAGAAACATCTTTAGGATATTTTGAGAAGAACTTTCAAAGATATCTAAAAGTTGGTTTATGCGTCGATTTTATACATTCACCTCGTTGTAATGAATAAGCGTGTCGTATTTCCCGGACACAATAGTATAAAAATACTGTCTCGTGCACATGCACAAACGCGCACGCACACAAACACACACATACACACACACATACAAACACATACAACATTCACACGTACACTGAAGGAAATGTAAATAATACTTAGATTTAAAAATTTTAGCATTGCTGTAATTGAAATTGTCATTATTTTTTTTATTTGATAATATTTTTTAATCATTGCAGTTATTTTTAATATCATAATAATAGTTATTTACATTTTCTTCCCGACGGAAGAGATCATCACCTTCTCGAGGTTTCCGTTGAGCAACAATATGTACGTCGTTTAAAATAAATGTTTAAAACAAATATAGGATAATTTTTTATTAATTAACGTTTAAGTAATATCTAAAGTGCTACAATTAATTTTTTATTATAATGTACTTTTTAAATAAAAAGACGTACATGTTGGCCAAGAATGAATACTTTCACACTTGGAAACTGTAATCTTATATATTTCGTTTAAGTCATAATATTATTTATAACATCTGACTTTATTTCGATTAATATTTAAAATATATACGAAAATAGAAGAGAGAAAAAGAGGGTTTTTCATAATATAACATCATGCGTCGCGTCGACAATCCGAGATTCTTGAGAATACGCGAAAACGCGAGAGCGATCATCTCATGTGGATTGTATTATATACTGCATTTGTAAACGTAATTATCCAATATGCCAATAAATAAAGTGCGTAGATAGTACGTTGATGAAAGTCTTTATATTATGTAATTTTATAATAATTTTTTACTTGCTTATTAAAAAGCGAATCGGTTTCTGCCCACAGTTATACATACATACAGACATATATACATATATTTATATATAAATATATATATAAATGTAGAGGGAGAGACACACACAAGTTAATTTTAATAAATTGTAGTAATCGTATACACTACTCTCATATGTGTAGTTTTCATGCAATAACTGTAGGAAGAAATCGACTCGCTTTTTAATAAGCAAATAAAAAAATATTATAAAATTACATATATATATATATAATTTAATATTATTAAAAATATTATCAAAAATTATTGTATATATAATTTTAATATTGTGTTAAAAATATTATTTAATATTATTAGAACAATTATTATACATATATAATATATATATTATATATATATATAATATGTATAATATTATATATATATATATATATATCTAAAATGTCATCTATGTCGCTTGATATGTCGATCGCCCGAGAAAAAATTTCGGTCGCTCGACGCTCAGTGAAATTACGAGGCTACGACTATATGTATTACGATACAATAGAGCGCGTCAGCGAGAAGGATTCTTCCTCTCTCTCTCTGATTCTCTCGCTGTCTTGTTCGCTCTCAGCGCGCTGAAGGGAAAACAAAGAGGGACGATTAGTGAGACAAGGACAGCGCGATTGTCGGCGCGCTCCTGCTCCAAAGTCACACGTACACGAGCTTTGTTTGTGTGAGTGCTAACTGTTGTGCTAGGCCGCCGACCGATGGCCCTATCATCGAGGGCTGCAAGCGGGCCGGAATTCCCATCACTGCGTCAGACCATAAGACCTTAGACCACTGTTCCGTTGTCCAATAGTTGTGTTTCCGTGCCCAATTCAATCTCTTAACCTTATTTTGTTTGCGCAACAATGGTTTTTTGGCTGCGATATAACCTTTCAAACCATACTCACGAAGCCGGCGTTGCACAGTCGTAACTGATATTTCCGTTTTCCGTATAGAATTAAGTTCTACGCGAATTTCCGGCGCAGTTCGAGTTCGGTTTCGTTTACTCTGCACACAAATAAATTTGTCTTCACTTTTTGAAGTTTTTCTAGGCCTTCCGGAACGATGACAACTCGTATTAATCCCAGTTTCTTGTTTCCGCTTCAACGCGTTCATGACTGCGATTTGAGACACTTTTGTTTTTTTAGCGATTTGGCGCGTTGAATACCCTTCGTTGCATAATGCCACGATAACAGCTCGAGTTTCAACACTCAAGTCTGCTTTACGACCCATTTTTCTAGAAGTGCAACACAAATTTTGAAATTTATTTGACGAGTACTCAAAAACAGAACGCGTATATAATATATCCCTTATCGCTTATATATTATTACATATTATTACATATAGCAATTGTAAAATTGTTCAACATACTTGCCAATGCGTAAAAGTTGGCGTGGAATCCTCTTTTGGCAAATTTTAAATACTATAGGCGACTTTACTACAAATCACTTGTTGGCACAGTATTTCTAAACTGACATAAACTGCGAGCGCAAGAAAAACATTGTCATTTAATGTGGCCAAATGACATTGCTTATATTTTAGGACCTTGGAAACGACCGAACATCAATAAACAAAAATATTTTATTCTCTCGTTAACGTTAAATCGCAGTTTTCAGAGGTGAACTTAAACTTTTGACCAGTAGTGTATTT